AACCTGTTTCTCGAACAAAATTGGTTCTCACCGTTGTGTTCGTTTTGGCCATGAACACCGCCTCGGTCTCATGAGTGTTTTAGAGAATTCGGCCTTTTCAATTCTCACGAAGCGGCCCTCACTTCACACTCACATAGGTGATTTCCGAACATATAGTATATCACATACTCAATTCGAATCATTAAAAGCTTTTGCTTAACCTTCACATATTAGTACTTGTCTTCATCCTAGGAATGAGTAAAAATTTAACAAGACTCTACACTTCGTCTTCATAACTTAGTTGTCCCTTTGAACCTAGATCTTGGGATCTCCAATCAACTAGGTAGGGTTTCCGCTATGATGACTTGTTTATAGGCCTTAAACCCATTCCCCTTGATGTTTTTGCAACCATCTCTCCAGTTAGGCCTTTTGTCAATGGATCCGCAATATTATCTTTTGACTTCACATAGTCAATGGTGATAATTCCACTAGAGAGAAGTTGTCTTATCGTGTCATGTCTTCGACGTATGTGTCGAGACTTACCGTTATACATGACATTCCTTGCTCTTCCTATTGCCGCTTGACCGTCACAATGTATACATACGGCGGAGCCTTGGTTTAGGCCAATTAGGAATATCTTCCAAGAAATTTCGAAGCCACTCGCTTCTTCACCGGCTTTATCCAAAGCAATAAATTCTGATTCCATAGTGGATCTAGCAATACAAGTTTGTTTGGATGATTTCCAAGACACTGCCGCTCCCCCAAGTGTGAATACATATCCACTTGTCGATTTTGTGTCTTTAGTGCCGGTTATCCAATTTGCATCACAAGTATCCTTCAAGTACCGCTGGATATTCGTGTAATGCAAAGCGTAATCTTGAGTATGCTTTAAGTAGCCCAATAAACGTTTCATTGCTTTCCAATGATTTTCATTTGGACTAACTGTAAATCGACTTAGCTTGCTAACCGCACAAGCTATGTCCGGCCTAGTACAGATTCATGACATACATTAAACCGCCTAGTATACTAGCATACTCATTTTGAGCCTTACTTTCACCGAGTATTCTTCGAAAGATGTAAATTAACATCTATCGGAGTCTTTACCGTATAATATATCTAGATTCTTGCACTTTCCAAGAATCGTCTCAATATAATGGGATTGTGATAGAGCTAATCCTCCATATGTTTTATGGATTTTAACTCCTAAAATAACATCTGCAACCCCCATATCTTTCATATCAAATTTACTTGTGAGCATGCGTTTGGTTGCCTTAACAACCTCACTATCGCTGCCCATTATAAGCATGTCGTCTACATATAAGCACAAAATGGCAAAACCATTATGAGTGTTCTTAACATATACACATTTATCACACTCATTGATCTTGAAACCATTCGACAACATGACTTGGTCGAATTTAGCATGCCATTGTTTCGGTGCTTGTTTCAATCCATAGAGTGACTTGATAAGCCGACATACTTTCTTCTCTTGACTTGGAACAATGAACCCTTCGGGTTGTTCCAAATATATTTCTTCTTCCAAATCCCCGTTTAAGAAGGCCGTCTTAACATCCATTTGATGGATTTCAAGCTTATACACCGCGCTATGGCAATTAGCATCCTTATGGATGTAATTCTAGTAACAGGTGAATAAGTATCAAAATAATCAAGACCTTCTCGTTGCTTGTATCCTTTTACTACAAGCCTAGCCTTATATTTATCAATAGCACCATCCGCTTTCATTTTCCTCTTGAAAATCCACTTACACTGCAGTGGTTTATTACCAGGAGGAAGGTCAACCAATTCCCATGTATGGTTTGACAAGATGGATTCAACTTCACTATTGATAGCTTCTTTCCGAACGGGGCTTCGCGAAGTCACGCTTCTTTGAATGTCCGAGGCTCATTCTCTAACGTATACGTTAAGAAATCGTGTCCAAAAGACGCTGGAAGTCCTTTGTCTTTTACTACGTCTAGGTTCATCCTCAATTGGATCATTTCTAGATATAGTATCTCGAGACCTCTTATTATTATCAATTGGCTCATATACTATGTTATACGGAAATATATTTTCAAAGAACGAAGCGTCCCTTGATTCAATTATCGTATTAACATGTATATCCGGGATCTCTCGACTTGTGAACAAGAAAACGATATGCATTGCTATTCCGAGCATATCCGATAAAAACACAATCAACGCTTTGGTCCTATCTTAACCTTTTTAGGCTTAGGAACCGCAACCTTAGCCAAACACCCCCACACTTTGAGATAATTCAAGTTAGGCATTCCGCCTTTCCATTTCTCATAGGGAGTTTGTTGTGTTTTTCGTCAGGGGCACTCGATTTAAAATAAAATTCGCCGTCAAAACCTTCCCCCACAAATTCTCGTGGTAAACCGGAACTATTCAACAATGCATTCATTGTTTCCTTTAAAGACCGGTTTTTCCTTTCCGCCACTCCATTAGATTGCGGCGTATAAGGAGGAGTCATTTGGTGAACGATACCAAACTCAGCACAAATTTCCTCAAAAGGAAATTCATATTCACCTCCTCTCGTCACTTCTTATCATTTTAACTTTCTTATTCAACGAGTTTCAACTTCGGACTTATAAATTCTAAAAGCATTCACACCTCATCTTTGCTACTAAGCAAATAAACATAACAATACCTCGAGCAGTCATCTATAAATGTGATAAAATACTTATTACCACCTCTTGACGGTATTGATTTCATATCGCATATATCTCGTGTGTATTAAATCTAAAGGTTCGAGACTCTATTGTCTACGAATGAAAAGGAGGCTTAGAAAATTTAGATTCAACACACACTTGGCATTTCTCACTAGAACATTCGAATTTTGGCAATAATCCCATGTTCATTAATTTCTTTATCGACTTATAGTTAACGTGTCCTAATCTATCATGCCATAAATTAGGAGACTCAAGCACATAAGCGAAACAGCTTTATTCATAACAACATTGGGTACAACAAATCATTACATTTAACTTGAAAAAACCATCACTGAGGTAACCCTTTCCTACATACATCTCATTCTTGGAGAGTACAAACTTATCGGATACAAAAACCAACTTGAAGCCATTCTTGCTAAGAAGAGATCCGGACACTAAATTCTTGCGTATGTCTGGCACATGTAGCACATTATTTAGTGTCACAACTTTCCCAGATGTCATCTTTAGAGCAACCTTTCCAACACCTTCAACCTTAGAGGTCGATGAATTACCCATGTAGAGTTTTTCATCACCTTCCATAGGCATGTAAGATGAGAACATTGATTTATTGGCGCAAATATGACGAGTTGCTCCAAGTATCAATCCACCACTCCTTGGGATTTCCCACCATATTACACTCGGATATCATGGCGCTTAGATTGATATCATCAACACCATTGGAAATTTCTTCCACCACATTAGCCTGAGTTTTTGTCTTTTCTTGGCTCTGCAGTCTTTGGCTCGATGTCCAGACTTGCCACAGTTGAAGCACTTGCCAACGAACTTCTTCAGGCCTTGGGTGAATCCCTCTCCAGACTTGCTAGTCATTTTTCTCTTCTTGTTGGGTTTTGATCCTTCTTCAACAACATTGACCCTTGAGACCGCCAAATTGCTGCCAACTTTCTTTTCGGAATTTCTATTGTCTTCCTCTATCCTCAACCGAACAATCAAGTCTTCAAGTGACAACTCCTTTCTCTTGTGTTTGAGATAATTCTTGAAATCTCTCCAGGATGGTGGCAATTTTTCAATGAATGCAGCCACTTGAAATGTCTCACTTAGAGTCATTCCTTCAAAGGGGAATATCATGCATAATCACTTGAAGCTCTTGAACCTGACTTAAGACGGTCTTTGAATCAACCATCTTGAAGTCCAGAAATTTACCGACAATGAATTTCTTCAATCCGGCATCTTCGGTTTTGTATTTCTTGTCCAGACTATCCCATAACTCTTTAGCCGTTTTTAGCGGACTATATACGTTATAGAGAGTATTGTCCAGACCGTTGAGGACATAGTTGCGACACAGGAAGTCAGAATGATTCCATGCGTCCACAGTAGCAAGCTTTTCTTTATTTGTCTCTCCAACGTCCAATTTAGGACCATCCTCATTGAGGAATCTAGCCAAGTTCAAGGTCGTGAGATAGAACAACATCTTTTGTTGCCATCTCTTAAAATCCGTACCATTGAACTTTTCTGGCTTTTCTCCGTGATTCGGAACAGGATTAACCGAAGTCGAAGCCATTTCTGAAAGCAGTACAACCAAATAAGCAGAATGTTGATCCGAGCCCAACGAATTAACGTCGTGTCCTTAAGACGAATTTGGCCCCTCAATCAGTACCCGAGGATATTGGACAATCGTCTCCCAGGATAGAACGGATCTCGTTCCTCCGAAGCGGTACGTATACGGAGGACTCCAACGAACGCAATTTTGCAGAACAATCGCACCAAATGACAATGATGAAGTGAATATGCGTAGAGTGCGTCTAGAAAAAATGAATGCCACGAAGTGATATTTCTATTCCGAACTAAACTGTTCGGTCTTATTCAAGTGACGAAAAATGAAGAGTCGCGAGTTTTCGTGAATAGTAGCGAATAAATTCTAAACAACGTGTCTGTTCGAAAAAAAAAAATAAAAACCGATAGAGAGTGGACCCGGCCGGACGGCGGCGGCGGCGCGCGCGGGAGGTGGACCGACCTAGCTTGACGTAGGTCCTCTCTCTTCCACAAAAGTGGGGTACCCCTTGGGGCCCAAACCCATTTGTGAGGCTCAACTATTTGAACCCATCTCCCATCTCTCTTCTACCCTATGTGGGACACTTTCACCCACACACTTCTCATTCAATTCTATGGGATTTTTGGTTCCAAAATCCCAACAGTCTTTGGTTTTCGAGAAGAAAATTTACAAGTAAAAGTAGAATGGAATGCCGTTCTTGATGGGTGGGATTCTTTGAGAAGCAGGCTGGAAATGCAAGAACTCATCAAGTTTGTATGTAAGTTCTGTACTTATAGTTCAGTCCCTTCCAAATCCGGTGTGGAACTGTAATTCATAGATGCAAGAACCCAATTACAAGAACCCGATAGGACACTCACCGCATATCCGAAAATCATATTTTTCCGTGGTATCGCATTAGCATGCTCTCGTTATTGGGGACGAGAGATCTCGAAATGTATCATGCACTTTGTGGGATGTTCATGTCGAATTCAAAAAATTTTATACGGCCTTTCTTCCTTCACGCACGCTCAGGCACATTTGATCCACTGAACATCCTCTTCAGTCTCTACCTGGGTGTATAGACTCAACATCGTCAACACCCTTTGAACCGCACATGATCAGCTGCATCAGAACTGCTGCTGATGCCTTCATCCTCCCGCTGGGCCTCTCGTTCTCAAGCGCCTGATTCCTAATATCCGACAACTTGTAATTTGGGTCTCTCGTTATGGAGCTCGAACCATCCAAGCTCTCTTGCCCCTCGGTGCTCGAATTCGATGGCGGGGAGGACAGAATCCGAATCTCCTCCTTGCTCCAGTCCTCGTCGCGGTTGCCCCTCTTCGCTTGCCTAGTTCTCTTGTCGTCAGTCTGCGTGGACGCATTCGCCGCCTTATTAGCCATTTCCGAGGTCTTGGCCTCGTAGACTCTGTATTGGTGAAGGTCATCTAGCGAGAGTGATGTGGAGTACGAATGGCTCTTTTTCTTGATGTTGACGATGTCGGAGAGCTTGATGTCCTCAGCTGGGTTGTTTGTTTCCGAGGAGCAGTTCTTTGACGCCGGCGTTGAGATCGCGGCGGAGGATCGGAAGCTTGGAGGTGGTACTTGGAGGAGTTGTGATCCCTTGAGGATGTATTCATGGCCATTGCAAGGGTGTATCAGGTCATCCTCTGTCAAGTCTTGCCACACATACCCACTTTTGTAGTTCCTAAATTTAAAAAGAGGCAAAGACCAGATCATGAAATGAAAGAAAGATGATGTAACTTGCCGAATCATATAAAGCAAATTTTACTAGAAATTGTTGAACCATTCCTGCCAATGTTGAACTCGAAAGAACCAAGAAAAAGAGAATTTATGCACTCAAAAGAACCAAGAAAAAGAGCATTTCTTTTTTGTCTGTTCCATTCCCATACCTTTTCTCACTTTCAGGGGGAAAAATAAGAAAAATCATGATAGTACTTCTACCTAAAAGTCACCAAGCTATACGACGTTCAGAAACAAAAGGAGACCAAATTGGAGGGGACAGAGAGCGCTTGTTTGTGAGTTCAGTCACATACCTCTTTGAAGACCAAGAGTACAAGTTGGCCATGCCTTGACCTCGCACACAATTCAATCTATTGATCACATCTGGAAAAATTGCAGCAAAAGATCATCAATCACTTGGAAAACATCTCAACCAGAATCAACATGTATCAAACAGAGAGTAAAAGCAAATAAGGAACAGAGAAAAGAACTTCTGAAAAATGATCCACGAAGTTTCGTTTACCTCCGAGAAAGAGCCCACCGGGTGACGAAAGCGGGACTTCCATGAAATGGGGATGCTCAAGATGGCCATTTCTCGAGAGGTAGTAAACGACCGGGATTTTGCTCTCCATCTTCATCTGGGGCTCAATCCATTTCTTGGTCCTCTCAGGACTCGTGTCCGTGTCTTGGAACTTCTTGGGCACCCACGCATCTGCCGTGTTGAACCTTGAACTGACGGACATTTTTTTGGTTCCTTCCTGTTCCTCTTCTGGCGACCAAGGAAAGCAACACCGAGGATGCCTCAGAATGATCGGAGGCCCATCAAAGAAAACTCTCGACGAAGAGATACGAAAAGGGTTAACTAACGGCAAATAAACAAAGGGGCTAGTGGGCGGAGAAATCACGAGGCTTGGACTTTCTTGGAGAAAGAAGAAGAAAGGGGAGGGAACAATAGAGAAACAAGAGAGAGGCATTGTGCATATATAGTAGGGGGGACAAATGCTCGGGGAATGTGACCTCAGGGGGTCAGCTCTTGGCAGGTGAATTTGTTTCATCTGAACTCGCGGCTAACCAGAAGTTGTCGTTATCTGTTCTTTGCTTAACTGGGGAAATCCTCAGCCGAAAATTTATGTCTATTATACTCTTGCAAGAAGAAGGGACTAAGAGAGGGTTAGGTACCCGGCCAATCTTCGTAATTAAATACCGTCACTGTATAGATTTCGTTATGAATTGGCAAAGAACAAATAATAAATAAATAAATAATTTAAAAAATATTATTAAAAATTATCCATGTCAGCGTCTGTCATACCACGTAGGACCACTGGCGTCCACGTCTGGCCTGATGGACTCATTTGGCTTAACGTGAAAATGTTTAGGATTCAATTGACAAAATTGATGTGTTTATAATTGAATTGATAAAAGTGCAATAGGTTTAGGATTTTTTAGATAATTTTCCAAATAATTCGTTGGTAGAGCCAAAGAATGTGAACAGAAAAATTCTAACCCAGATGTGATGACTTTGACATCATCCCAGGTTTTTTCTCCATTAATGCTGTGGATGCATCTGCAAAAGCGAGCGTTCAATGTCATGTTACAACTTTTTTGATAGTTGCCAATAATAGGCTTTTAGTCCAGACAAACGTTAGCTCAGCCGCACAGTATTAACATGTGCTTAAGAGAAGCTTTTTATGTACCCACAACAGTGGCTTTCATAAAAAACCAAGAAGCTTTTCTTCCATGGCAAGATATCAAGTCACGCAGGTTTTATTTAGCACCCCCGAGGATGGCCAACGTGAAATCGCCCGGTTGTTTCTAGAAAAAGAATAATTGGATTTGGAGCAAATGATTTGAGCATTCTTCTAATCACTAATTTGGCTTACAACAATATCCCCAAAAAACCATGCACATGCCAACCTTATGTGACCAAAGCTTTTCTTGTCAGTTCTTCATTGAATAATCCCATCGCTGTTAAATAAAGGGAAAAAAACTAGAGACATGCATGATATTCAGATTAGGGTCTAAATGCTGACATTCTGCTTCGTCCCTTAAAAAAAAAAAGATTATTGATCAGATAGTTTATCAACTGTGAGTTCACGGGACCAGCTCGATGAGACTGTGGACAAGAATGCCAATCTTCCAAAAAGCGAAGTCTCGTGAAACAACGACACTCAGAATAAGGGAAGCTGCCTTGATGGTTTCCCAAAATCCAAGAGCATAGAAAAAGAAAGAATTCAAGCCAATGAAGGTATGGCGAACCACACATGGCTACATTCATCCGATTGTGCAAATCAAAATATGGTCAGAAAGAAACGAAAAGAAAAGAATATTAGAGGGGTGTCGAAGTTCGCATCCTTGAAGGTCTATTTTGGCCCCCACATCCCAAGCTTGCTCGTGCACTTAAATAAGCAAACCGCAGCGCATGGATACTAATATTGGGTAGAGAGGTACAATAGTTGGGGGTTGCTGTGCCGACAATTCGGTGAATGACCTACACAACAGGTGTACCAAGAAGCCAACCACAAAATACAAAATACCAAAACAATAACCTCAAGAAAGAAAGGTGATTAGGGAAAAGTGTGGCGAGTATGTCTATTTTGCAAGCAAAGACAAGCTTAAGATAAATTATGTCCAAACAGATTATTGGAGTGGAGTTCTTGCTTGCTTCCAAGTGATCACATCAAGTTCACATCAGGAAAATGTTGGCCATCCTTACCTCCTACTTCAACAAATACTTCAAGTTTTGGCTACGCGACTTCATCTGCGGGTATTGCTCTTGTTAACCTTAATCCATCGGATTTCATGTTTTCGAACTACCCCCTCTTTTTTTTTTCCTGGAGTCATTCCGAGAGATAACGGAATCGCTGTTCCCACCAGGAAGAAGTTGAACATCTTTCTATGAGCCAGAAACATTACAATGTTATTGTCAAAATGGAAAAAAGGCCAAAACTTCATTACAGAGTGAAGGGACGCAGAAGTTAAACATATTTCTCCAAGCACCACATCGCAGCAGTAGCTTCCAACCGTCGGCCAAAACAAAAAAAATCATGTTCGTCGGACGTCAGAATGTCTCAATGAAACAGCATCGAAAAGTCTATTCAATAACAGTAGCTCCTTATCCACTGAGAGACTCTAGATATGATACTATCTCCATCTGGTCTAATTTTACACTACTTGCTTGACCTGAAACGCCAACTTGATATGCACATGCACGACAGCATTCCTCTTAGCAGTTGATTTCCACACGGAAGTTCACTGACCATTTCAAAATGCTGCCCCCGAGGATGAACTGTTTCTAGTACCTAAAGGAGACTAAAGAACAAGCGAGCAAAGAATTTGTAACCTCTTGATCGGAAGCTTATTAAGTTGCATCTGGATTTGTCGAAGCATCAGCTGGCTTCTTAGAACAAGCAGAAGAAATATGGCCCTTCTCGCCGCATATATAGCAGGTTCTTCTCTTCATCTTGCCACTGCTGACGGTCGATCCAGTAGTAGTGTTATCGACTGCGGAATTAGCATTATCGACTGTGGTATTTGCGTTATAGACTGTGGTATTCGCCGACACGGTTCTTGCACTGCTTTTGACACCTTCCTTAGGGATTGCACTCATTATTTTAACAGGCCTACCGCACAAAACCTGCTGATTCAACTTAATGGCCATCGCCATTGCAAGGCTATCGGAAAAATCCACATGGGCGTAGCCCCGGAACTCTCCCGTTTCCTTGTCCATACCGAAACGTATAGACGATATGTTGCAATCTGAGAAGAATTTCCTCACGTCGTCCTCGGTTATATCCCATGACAAATTCCCAATGTAGATCCTGTTGTAGCCTTCAACAATCGGCGGGGCGAACTCGGCTGTTTTAGTGGCTCGAGTTGCCTTGAAGGGCTGGATTTTGAGAAAGAGTCCGCCCCTGACAAATAAAAAGAAAGGGTTCAATGAGCATGATGCATTTGATTGGACGTAATACTTGAGAAAGTAGATACTGCTTCTTCCTAATACACTCACATGTCGGAACCATCAAGAGCCAAAGCTCGCTTAGCTGCAGCCTCTGTCTGCAAAACAAATTAATAAATAATTCAAATTAGCTGTTACACAGGATCCATTGTTTCTAGATATAATATCATAGAAAACACTAAAGACTTGGTACTATGTTTCAGTTTCAGGGATTCGTAGCCATCTGTTAGACAAATAACTCGGGCAATGGGAGTGAAACTAAGTAAACAATTTAGGGTATAAATCTTGAAAGCCAAAGTCACATAACCATGACAGCTGCCTACTGGAATAATTACGAATTATCGGACCCATTTCAGAAGACGAGAACCTTCTGGATGAAGCACTTTTTGATGCTAATCAATATGCTCACAACTCATGACAGATATTAAATTAATATCCAATTATCGCAGCTCACTTCCGTGTCAAGATTCAAGCTTAATATTCCCTAAGACTACCTAACTACATTTCTTTCGCATTCCTATTGGGAAGTTAAAGTCTGGTTACTTTGGACTTCAAAGGAAATGTACAAAGGAAATCTAACCAATCTAATGTCTGCAAATATACTAATTTTCCCTCCTATATTCCTCAAAATGTCAAGAAAATACCAGCATATCCTCATTTCATCCTATTCACCAGAAAATTACAGGAAGGATTGACAGGCAATGCATGTAATCTGTCTTCAAGGAAGCTCCTGTGCTCTATGATAAAATCGAAAAGAAAAAACACACTGGGAAAGGAGAAGGAAGCTTGTAGCACTTGAAGTACACATAACTGAAACTTTGATGTCAAAGGTAACATCAAGAAAATGCCTTTTTTCACTGCATAATGTTAGCTTCACAGATCCTTCTATATGATCAGGTTGCTAAAACCATCCCACATTGATCATGCACTAGATTAAATTCCAAAAACAGGACTCTGAAGCAACATTCTGAAGAAGCTATCTGAATTAACGCGAAAAAACAATTAAAGGAGAAAAAGGCACAAACACCTCAAAGTTTAACACCGTGAAGGGTCATCTAATGACTAACCTTGAAACTGATAATGGCGATTCCTCTAAACTTCCCACTCTCAGGAAAAGTCATACAATCAATTTCTGTTATGGTGCCACAACCTTCAAAGTAGCTTCTTATATCATCTTCTGAGGAGTAGTAGGGGATACCGCCAACATAAACTTTCCGAGCAACATCTTCACTCTCTTGACTGTAAATGTGCAAAAGAAATGGAGAGCTTGAGTTAAAATGGATGGAAAATTTGGCAGGTACCTTGTGTCCAGAACCAGAAATTAAATGCCGGAAGCATAATGGATCAGCTCTCTCCAACACTGAGCCACTATTAGTCAAATGCAAAAAGCATAGACATGCACCAGACATTGGGCCACAAAAGAGACATGGAAATGCATAGTTCAGATATTCATATTCTTGGCACTGATATGAGGAAACCAGAAGTTATAAAGACAACAAAAATCTTGAACTGACCAGGTAGAGCAAATTAGAGCTAATGGCAATTCATTCTGAACAACTACTTTGTATCATTCCTACAGCACAAACTCTGAGATAGTCTCAATGAAGAATTCACTAAGATTACTGTTAGAAAACAATGATTTTCAGGACCAGAGATAGCAAACATATATTCTGGCCGAAAGCCTCATTAATATTTAGACCATGATCAGGACCCATTCACAATCTTGCTGATCATCAATGTCGTGAACCACGAGTTCCATGCCTCATTGAAGTACTTCCAAAATGCTAAATGCACACTAGGATGATACCTTTGCCAAAGGACATTCTAAGCGATATCCACTCGAGCATGGAATGGTAAATAATCATAAGTCCAAGAAAATTCGCAGAAGATTATAAAACTATAAACCAAACGACAATCATCGGTTGCCTGCTTCTCAACAACCAAGGTAGGGCGATACAACTCGAGTAGAAGAATTCATTCAGACTTTCAGAGCAAATTAAAAGAACAGATTGCCATAATATGTACCTATTGACCTCCGCCACGGCATGTTCAACCACAGCCTTGTCCTCTTCAATCTTGTCCTCACCCTTCTCCTTCTTCTTACCCGTTTTACTCTTCTTCTTTTTCTTCTTCTTTTCCTTCTTCTTCGCCTCTTCAACACTCACATCACCACCACCCTCCTCAGCACCCAAGCTTCCATTCTCAGTCCCCTCATCCCTCTTCTTTTCCTTCTTCTTCTTCTTGGCCTCTTTCACACTCACATCACCACCACCCTCCTCAGCACCCAAGCTTCCATTCTCAGTCCCCTCATCTATCTTCCTCTTCTTATTTCTCTTCTCCTCCTTCCTCTCATCGCCACCATTGCCCACTTCCTCAAACGAGCTCTTCTCCCTCCTCTCTATAACACCCTCATCTTCTTTCTCGCCATTATCGACCCCACCTCCCAAAGACCGATTTTTTCTGCGTTTCTCTCGCTTGGACAATCTGGGTCTCTGGGTTGCCGAGCCCATGAGCTGTTTCAGGGACTCTGGCCGCGAATCTTGATCGGGATTGGCGGGTTTTGCGTGATGAAGGTCGGCGTTTGATTCGTTTTTCGCCAGGGATTCGGCTAAAGCCGCTCTTAGCTTCTCCTTCAGCTTCTTGTTGGAGAGCACCATGTTCGCCGACCGTGAAAACAAGAACTGCAGACGACAATGGCGTGAGGGAACGACGGAAGAGGGGCTTCAGGTGAATGGGGTTTTGGGGAGAGAAACGGCACAGCGTTTTTCCTTTTATGGCTTGAAACGGCACAGCGTTTTTCCTTTTATGGCTTGAAACGGCACAGCGTTTAGGGGATAGAAAATCATACAAACCATACATACATTATGTGATTATAAATATTGACGATGTTGACATTTTAGATCTTATTATTTGCCGAAATTTGAATTTTAGTTGATGTGAAACAGTTAAATTATTTCAAAATAGATTCGTATTCATTTTTTTGAAATATTATTTAATCTAAGTAGCATTTTATGCTTCTACAATGCAATTTTCTAAAGGGTTAATATCACGAAAAAACTTAAATTAATACATCAAATTAATTTTTTTATCATAAAAAACTCAACATTTGTACATCAGTGACAATTTTACCTCAAATTAATTTTTGGCCCATAAAAAATCCAAAACTGATATATTTGTGACAAATTTATTCTCTATTAGTTTCCGTTAAATTGGATTAATACCACGAAAAATTATAAACCGATACACTTGTGCCTTAAACTGATATACCTGTCAATTGCAATGTATCATCCAACTCAGTAATTTGACGGTAAAATTTAATGGAAACTGACGGAGAGTAAATTAATCACAGGTGTACTGATTTAAGGTTTTTCGTGAAATTAACCCTTTTTTTAAAGTACCAAAACAAATGGCCCTAGGAAAGTATAATTAATCACGTGGAAATAAATATTAAACATCGCTACTGCTAGCACACACGCGCGATCGACGTGCGAAAGCTCTCATGATTTCCCTCCCATCAATCCTTGAATAACAGAGTTATCCATTTGACAGGAAGAAAAGAAAAAAGCTTCCACACGACCACAAGCTCCTAAACGTACATCATCCAGAAGTAGAGTTTGCAGGATCAACCAGCATCTCCAAACGGAGCTACGTTCATGGTGGTCTCTTCACTCTCCCCGAGTTGGGTTCCAAGAACCTTCAAAGAAAAGGTCGGTCTGTCATCATTCTCTGTTCTCTGTTCTTGATTTTCTGAGCACAACTCACTGTTTGTGTCCATTATCCTTTCACAGCTGAAGGAGCCTCGTTGGAGCGAGTCACCTCGAACCGGGGAGCTTCCTCTTCATCACAACATCACATGCTTGTGCGATCGCGCGACAGCCGTCGATGAAGAAAGTAAGTCATTCACCCCGAGAATGCATATGTCAATCCGAAGATTGAAATTAAGGGATGGAAAATTCGGCTAAGTTTCAGGCAACTGCAAGAGAAGGCCTTTTCTCTTGGGCGTTGTTGGGTCGTTGACAGCAAGCTTATTGCCTGCTAGTTCTCTTCTAGCTCAAGGTGCGGTAATGGGTGATGCTCAGTCACTTAGTTCTAAAGTTCTAAGCTTTTCAGAAGATGAAAATTATGTGATGTTCGAAAGAAGAGCATGTGAGTATTCCTTTTCTTGATTCTGGTGCAGAAATGCCGGCAAATTATCGAGCTTTCGTCGACCTTTTGGATGGGTATTCATATTATTATCCCTCAGATTGGAGGGTATGTTCCAAGACCTCAAGTTATTGCAAGCACAAGAAACACTTGCTCATCTTGTAGATTCAACAATACTTGAGATGATTCAAAAGAGTTTTCTCATTGGGACTTCTTTTTGGTGTTCCAAATTAGGAATTCGATTTCCGGGGGCATGATTCCGCATTCAAGGATCGGTATCTGCAGCTGCAGAATCTGAGAGTCAGATTCATACCGACCGATAAGAAAGACATCCATGACATGGGTCCTATGGACGAGGCACGATTATTCGCAACTCTTCTTCGAGATTTCTCATTGAATCTTCACAATCTGTTCATTTACCATTTCCTTTGTCGTGGCAGGTTGTCTCTAACTTGGTGAAGAATATTTACGCTGCACCGAATCAGATAGCTAATATTTTTGACATGCAGGAGGTAATTTGCACCCATTACTGCTCTCTCCTATATTTCTCTACTCTTCGTGAAATCTGAGGTTCCCTTCATTAGTCCTACTTGTAATTCATTCAGACATTTTTTACTGTCAATGAGGCCGGTTCATTAGTCTCGCGTTGATCAAGTGATTGCAGCGAACTGTTGATGGGAAGGACTATTACACATTTGAGTATGAGCTCAGATCTCCGAACTTCGCCAGTTGCTCTTTTGCGACCATTGCAGTAGCAAACGGTAAGCTTTCCACCGAGACATGTAATCACGAAAGCCAATGTAAATTTGTCTGATTAGATCGCTCATTTCTGAGCAGGGAGATTTTACACGCTGACCGTCGCAGCAAACGAGAGAAGGTGGAGAAGAGTAAGGAACAAGCTTAAAGTAGTCGCGGACTCTTTTAGAGTGCTCGATATCTGAGCCGCGTTTGTGCACAGAGCATGCATTCCACGCGCCATCCGAGAGTTGCGATGTATTTCTTCCTTGTTTATAGATGCGATGCTTTATCCCAAATGAAAATGAGGACGTGGAGATCATTCTCCATGTTTTGATTCAAATTCTTTCATCCCGCTCCTAACAAAGAGCTGAATTCTGTCATCAATAACCTCTGAAAAAATACACATTATTTCTCGGTAAAACAATGCTTTCGCTTTGTTCCGGACACCAGTGTTTTAATTGGGAAGAAAATGAAGATCAGAGCAGGGTTAAACTGAGAGTCTTTTCCACTCATGTACACAAACCAACCAATGGTCCAAAAGAATATGCATCTATCCTGGACAAAAGCATATCCTCAACCGTGATCACGCCACACTCCGAAGCTGCTATATCTAACACCCTGTGCTGATTACTAAACAACAATGTGAAAAGCTACTGCAAACACCTACCATGATTTACAGATTTCTATAAACAGTGATCTAAGTAAGCCTTGCCATTCACATCTTTTTGCCCTCACGCTCTGTCAACTCCAGCTCGGTGTACGTCGACATTTCTTTCATAATTGCTTGGGTAATGCCCTGATAATTTAGCTTTCTGGAGGAACTCTCAGATGTACAAATGAAACTATGTCGCGACTCATCGGAATTCAGGTCTAGCCAAGTCGATGCTGCCGCAAACCCTTTCCGAAGCGCGGCTGCATCAAGCGTACATACAAACCGTTTTTGGCCATCAAAGTGTCGTGGGTCCCCTCTTCCACAATCTGTCCACCATTAAGAACTACAATGCTGTCGACATGCCTCATCGTCGCGGCTCTGTGGGCTATCAGAATGGTAGTTTTGTTACCCATCACCAAGGTGTCGAGTGCCTCCTGGACCACTCGGCTTGACTCGGACTCGATCGACGAACTAGCTTCATCCAACAGCAATATAGGCGCATTTTTCAAGATAACACGGGCAATGGCAATTCGCTGTTTCTGTCCTGGGGTCAGATCCACACCTCTCATTCCCACGTGCGTGTCATAACCATGAGGCAAGCTGCTTATGAAATGATGGGCATTGGCTATCCTAGCTGCCTCCTTTATCTCAGCTTCACTTGCATTGTGGCGTGCATAAATGATGTTTTCCCTTATGGTTGTTGAGAAGATGACCGGTTCCTGCTGAACTAGACCCAGATGGCTCCTCAGCCATCTCAAGTTGTACGATTTAAGATCTCGCCCATCCAGTAAGACCTGCCCTGCAACTGGATCATAGAATCTTTCTATCAAAGATATTATGGTGCTCTTTCCGGAACCTGAAACTCCCACCACTGCTACAGTTTGTCCCCCGTTAACCTTGAGGCTAAAATTGCTAAGTACCAACAGTTCTGGCCGAGTTGGATAACAGAAGTCCACGTTTTTCAGCTCAATGGTTCCATAAACATTGGGAGGTTTCATCGCAGAACTATCATCCGGGTCAATTTGAGGCACTCGATCTATTATTTTAAACACGGAGGCAAGAGATTTCCGTCGTTTGAGTATGTATGGAGCCAATCCAAAAGGTTCAACCAACGCAAATGTCGCAAAAGAGAATACCATATACTCTTTGAGAGCCGTCGGCGGATCCATATAACCATTCTTGACAGATAAGGCGGTATACCAGAGTAGAAGAGCATTGCAGGCAAAGAGGAGAAACTGTGAGAAACCAAATGCAAAACCAATGGCGGTTCCTTGGAGAAAACTCTGCCTGAATACCTTCTGTAGTTGTATTTTGTATAGCTCCATTACCTTGTTTCCAGCACAAAATGCAACAACTGTATAGATGTTCCTAACTGCATCCTCAAGAACCAAAGAGGCCTTCCTGTGCATCTCCTGGATGCCCCTCGAGAAACCAGCAAGCCACAGTTTCTACAACAGATAATTTTCCATAGATGAAATACACAGACAGAAAGTACACAGAATCCTCAGAAAAAGAAAAGGTTCCCTGAAATAGCTTAGAATCACTTAATAGTTTTAAGGTTCATCAAACATACCACTTAGCAAATATCATCGCATTGCAGTTGAACTACATAAAATAAATCATCATTGTCCGAAACACCTTGTCATTGTCTGTAACACCTTGTGTTTACAACAATGAACGACGTGATCTTATAATTCCTAGGAAGTAATAGAGAAAGGAGAGAGAGCAACAGAAATCTGGAGGTGTTACGACTACTGTGACCTTTTCTATTTACAACCAAACTGTGATGCAAAAAGATATAAATTCTTTCATCTAAAGCGCGCCTTGAGAACATTATAAGCTGCTAGAGACATTTGGGAAGAACATATAAAGAGTTGCTGAAAGGTAAGAGGTAGATACAGGATAAAAAAGCTAACCTGGGCTAGAGCAGAGATCATAAGAACAGGCAGGGTTGCTAAAGCCACAAGCGCCAATCGCCATTGGAGAAGCAGTCCAATGAGGACAGCCACAATCACTGCAGCAGTGTCCTGTATTAATATTGAGAGGCGGTTGCTAAAAGCAGCTCTTACAAATGTAGCATCATTTGCCAAGCGCATTGATAGAGTGTCGGCACTGTTCTCCTCTTCATCAAACCACCCAACTTCATTGCGCAGCATGGCTGGTAGGTAGATAAATAAAAAAGTACTTTCAGAGGTGCTGAAATAACTGGTCATTAGTAAAAGCCCGCAAAAGTCCAAAACTAAATGCACAACAT